TCACTGTCCAGTGTACTATCTTCTACTTACTCCAGTGATGGAGAACTTATTCTTTTCCAGAATAGTCTTTCTGCTTTTAGACTATTCTATTGTTCTCCTACAGTCTCTTCCTCCCTCCCCTTCCTCCCTCCCTCCTTTCTCCTTCCTTCTTTCATCCATTTAGTCATAGTTACAACTCCTGAAGTCACGCAAAAGATAGTCTTACATTGAAGAGATTCTGTAAAATATCCAGTGCTTTACAAAGGTAATTGCTATTGATGAAATGATTACATATTTTGAGGCCAAAAGCCACTCTTGGCTTTCACTGCCTCTAGGGATATCTTATTGGAACCAGACCAAGGACTAAGAATATAGTGGAAGTAGGGCCAATGGAACTCAACTCCACCCAACCAAAGCTGGCATCCTCTTTACCGCCCAACCCAGGCATCAAGCCAAACTGCCAGTTGATGCTCCCTGGGACATGTCATACCCCACAACCTATAGAGACCCAATGGTACCTAGGAGAGAAGTGGCCTTCCTTTAAAGCCCCATCAAGCCCTTCCCTTGGTGGCCAATTTAAAGTCACTGCATTTAAAATTTATTTATCTCTTTGGCCAAGACCAGGGCTCCAGGTGCCAGAAGAGAAGGATTTTGCTCCAAGCTTCTAGTATTAGACATCTGACTGAAACCCAGAGTTTAAGGACTTGTAGGTGAGTTTGTCCTTTGCCCTTCCTCAGGAGTGGTTGCTGGTGAATATTAGAATCATAAAATGGGTGAGTTAGAAATACCCTTAAAGGAGGGGAAGGTAGAGCAGGCAAGGTGCCAACATCCTGTCTTCTGACTGCTTGTTTTTAACCAGAGGAGCTGGACTTGACCTTATATTCTGGAATTCTGCAAAAGATTTTGTTTTTAAAAATGTTCTTCCATTTACAAATGGAAAGAAAGAAGGAAGGAACATGGACTAAAAAGCACGTACCTAAGCTAATTTATTGTATAAGCAGGAGATTTGAAGATTAAGATTCAGAAGGGCAAATAATTTTTCCCAAGGTCATATAGCAAAAAAGTAGGAGGGACAGGAATTAAATCAGCATTTTCTCTTTTAGCTTCCAGGCTTTTGCTTTTTATGCTGTTCTAGACTTATAAATGTGTGCATGTGTGAGTGTGTCTGCAATTTTTAAAAAAATCATCTAGTTTCCTTAGATCCTATCTAGTTACCACGGAGACCCCAGGTTTTAGAATAAAGTAAAGCAGAAGGAGCTACTCCTGGAGAATGAGATGCAGGTCCTGGTTTCACCTCTTGTCTCAACCAACTGTACAGACATTCACTCTCTCTCTCTTTTGGCTTTAGTTTTATTGTCAATAGTGGAGAAACTCTACGTTAACTGGCTTTTACCTCTCGTATCCTATTATTTTAGTTATATTCCCAGAATTTTCTGGACATCCATGCCATATTTAAAATAGGATCAGTTCAGTGGTCTTGGGGTTAGGGCAAACCTACAGCGTCTATATAGTAAATATTTTATAACCCTATACTTAACCAGTCAGCAAATAGTCACTGGGCACCTATAATATGCCTAGCACTGTAACAGATGAGAAAGAATGGATGCAAGCAGAAACCACATTTTTTTCCTACAGACTAGTCTTTCTAGATTTTCTTCATCATACCCTACAAAGTCATCTGAACTGCAATTATACCCTGTACTTCAAATATGCCATTCATTTGAGAATTACCACATTAGAACTTCATTCCTTTTTATCTTGGTTTATAGCTTTGTTAAAATTTAAATGTACCTGTCCAGGTTAAGGAGAAGAAGGCTCTTTACAATGGTTTTAGTTTTATTTTATTTCATTGTTTCACAATGATTTTAAGCATTCAGCTTCCAGTCTTGTCCCGTCCATTTGGTACGGGGAAAGGGTCATACCTGCAGTCACACCTATAACGTGGTTTCCTCAACTTCCCAGCCCTATGGCCACACTCTTTTATAGCATTCAAGAGAGAGAACAGGCTCTGGAATCAAAGAGTTGAGAGTTATTTAAATTTTGGCCTAGTCACTTAATAACTCTTTGGGTTCTCATAACCTCAGTGAGCTTCTGGTCTGAAATGAGTATCTTTTGGAATTGTTGTAAACTGAACTTATTCAGAAAATATCATGTAATGTCTACTATGTGCCAGGGCCCATGCAAGGCACTGAGGTTATAATGTCCTCCCAGACTTTACAGTCAAGAATACAGACAGAACAAGTTGGCAAACAAAAGTAAATACAAAGTGTGGTAAATGTTATGAAATAAGCCAACATGTTTTATAAATATTGGGAATAGCATAAGGAAGGGACATTTCATCACTGTAGCCATTATTATGACATACAAGTACATGCACCTGGGTTTAGGCAGCCAGTGCAGTGAAGAGCAGACCTTGGATTAGGAGTGAAGAAACCTGGATTCAAATCCTGGCAGTGCTGATTACTTGTTAAGTAATAATTTTTTTTTTCTACAAAACTCAATGTAAGTTACTTAATTCCCACCACCTATGAGATAGTCCTGGCATTGCCTCTGTTTCTGCAGTGGAGGGAGATTTAAAAGGGATGTGCCAGCTTGACCCAGGCCCTACGGCCAGTGAGTGCTGGTGTACAGATTAGAGACTGGCTCTGCCTGACATCAAAGCTCCTCTGTGGACCACCACAAATAAGATAATGGATGTGAAAATGCTGCACAAACTCAAAAATGCTGTAAAAGCAAGCGGCGGTGTTTCTCAAACCACGTAAACTAACACACACATATATCATATTCCTATACTCTGTTTCTATATGTATAACTTCCATATATTCTATTTATATATAGAAATACAGAGTATATGGCATACATTATATTTACCTCCAGATAATTTAGGTCAAAATAACCTGCATTATCTTTCCTTACTGCTTGATTTTAACCAGAGGGGGCTGGACTTGACTTTATATTTAAAAATTCTGCAAAAAAAATTGTTTTAAAAAATGTTCCGCTATTTACAAATGGAAAAAATCACACAAAATAATCATATGAAATAAATGGTAGTCAGCTTTTATCATATTCTTAAAATGTAATAGACTAGATATGATAGACTCTTGGGGTCAAAAGAGAAAAGAATTATGATAAATCTTCCTAAGATACACGTCCGATGATAACTGTAAATGTGAAAAATAAAGGGTGGGGCACAGGGTAATTGTCTGGCTGTGTGTAGTTTCTCTTCAGAATGCTGGTTCTGTCGCATCTCAAGAGAGCATTTGTTTCTCAATCGACCTGCCTCGATTCAAACCGTTGAAAGCTTTCTTCTTGTCTTTTGAAGCAACTTTCTAATCTTCCTTGTCAGTCTCTTACACCCCCATCGATCTTTTGTACAGCTTCTCCACTTCTACTTTGCTCTCTGTTATATTGTTAAACCCATCTTCGACACCTAGTTCTCTGTTTACAAAGATGCAAGTAAAATGTAAAAAACAAACAGAAATAAAGCTTTTCTTGTCCATAGGAGAAATGTCAAGCTCTCTAACATAATAGTCATCCAATAAATACTTATTGAGCACCTAGTATGTGTCAGACACTGGTTGAGGTGCTCGGGATACTTTAATAAACAAAGGAGACAAAAATTCCTATAAATTCTGATCTTCATTAAGCTTACTTACATTCTAGTGCAGGGAGACAGGCAATCGATAACCAACAAACCAATTAATTATATGCAATGGTGGAAGGTGGTATTATTAAAAGAACAGGGCAGGGTAAAGGGGTACTAAGGTCTAAAAGTGGTGAGAAGGTTGAAATTAAATATAAATGTGCACACAGATATATGCAATTAAATATGCAGCATATGCAATTACATGGAGATTATACACAATTATATACAGTATATGCAATTACATACATACGAAACGGTTAAACAAACATCCTTGCCATCTTTGCTTTTGGAGCTCTTTCAAAATCTGTCCACCTCCCACTGTCTCCCAAAACCAGACTTCTGTTACCTTCTCTTAATACTCCTGTGCTCCCACCACCCTGACATGTTTAAGGTTCCTCAAACACTATGCTCTCTCGAGCTTTTTACAACTTTAATGTGAAGCCCTTGGAACCAACCACCTCCCAAGCTCCCTTGCACACCAAATTTTCATCCTGGTAACTCCTTACTCATTGTTGGACTCCTCCTCCCCTCGGAAGCCTCCACCTGCTATGTCCTGGATCCAGGGAGCCCCATCCCATTGTGCTGTGATTTGTTTGTTTTCTGTCTGCCTGATGCATTATGAGGGATATATTGAACTAAATAGTAATGTTTTATTACTTTCTCCATCATCTGCATTTAGCTCCAAAAGCACATGGTGCAATGTGTTTGATAAGTTGACAGTATTTGTGCAAAATGAGCATTAGCATTTCACAGTCTTGAAATTTTTTTTACTCCTTTCTGTAATCTTTAAAGGGAATTTTAGTCAGTTTTTCATACCTCTAAGTGCTTCACTCTACTGCTTTAAAAAGAAAGAACACCTTGATTCCATACAGAACAAACTATGATGATAAGAAAAACAGAATTGCCTCACTGGGCATTTAAATTCTTGATGTATTTATTTTTCTTAAGAAAACAACAACAACAGAGTATTTAGGATAAATCCAAGTGGCTCAGTAAGTCAACTGCAACACTTGGAGCAACTGAAAAAAAAGGGAGCATGTAGTCCAGGTTCTATTAATAACTTCCTTTGGTAAAATGGTGACATTGACAGTGAAGGTAATGACCCAGATAATGCAAAAATGTCAGGCTATTCTGGGACATGTCACTTTTCCATAAAAAAATGCATCAAAACAAGGGTGATTATGAACCCTCTGAAAGACCCAATGGATGTGGTAGAGGGGAATTCTGTGTCAGATAGAGGTAGGATGTTTACCTCCCAGTCTCTTCTGACTCGGGGAGTTTATGATTCCATGACACAATGAAATGGTTTCTTCACCTGGATCTTCATGGCCACAGGAATCCCTCTTTGGGGCTCTGAAGGCAGCAGAAAGAGGACATGGGAAGGAATATCAGCATGGTGACCAATTTCATCCTCTTGGGATTTTCAGAGCATCTGGAGCTGCAGATTTTCCTCTTTGTGTTGTTCCTGGGGATCTATTTCATGACACTGGCTTGGAACCTGGGTCTTATTGTCCTTATCTGGATGGAGTCGCAACTCCACTCCCCCATGTATTTCTTCCTTGGTAACTTGTCCTTTGTCGATATCTCATACACCTCCTCTGTCGCTCCTAAGATGCTCTGTGACTTCTTCAAAGACCAGAAGACCATCTCCTTTGTGGGTTGTGCTGTTCAGTTTTTCTTCTTCATTGGGATGGGAGGCACTGAGTGCTGTCTCCTGGCAGCCATGGCATACGACCGGTATGCTGCCATCTCCAACCCTCTGCTCTACACTGCCATCATGTCACCCACCTTCTGTGTGGGGATGGCCATAACAGCGTACACTGGTGGATTTCTCACGGGATTGGTCCAAGCCACTTCCATATTCCAGCTCCATTTCTGTGGGCCACGAGTCATTAACCACTTTTTCTGTGACCTGCCACCCCTGCTGGTCTTGTCTTGTTCTAGTACCTTCCTCAGCCAGGTAGTAAACTTTCTTGTTGTGTGTGCAGTTGGTGGGACATCAGCTCTTGTTGTTCTGGTTTCTTATGGCTACATCATTACTGCTATTATGAAGATCCATTCAACCCAAGGGCGGAGGAAGGCTTTCAACACCTGTGCCTCTCATCTGACCACAGTGATTCTCTTTTATGGCTCTGGTCTCTTCTCATACCTTCATTCTAGTGCTGGATACTCACAGGACCAAGATAAGGTGGTGTTCATGCTCTACGGAGCCATGATTCCCATGCTGAACCCTATCATATATAGTTTGCGAAACAAGGAAATCAAAGATGCATTGAAAAAACTCAAGGAGAGGAAGAAGCAGATGTCTTTTATGTGTTTTTTAGTCCCTTGAGCTGAAAAGTCTTAAGTTTTGCTACATGTAAATAGGCATAATACAATAATAAGTGATTCACAGACTCTGAATAATAAATTAAAGAAGCTACAAATAAGACCCCCAACCTACATGTCTCCTGTATAATTAGGTTCAACAGCTGTTTGTTTTCTTCCCTTTACTTGTTATGGATCAATAGGGTTTTAATTTGGGTCATCTGCAGCAGAAAATAAATGTGCTTTTTCATAATGTTCCTTAGCTGTCTGGCACCAGGTGGTGGGTTCAGGAGACCATGCCTTAGAACTAACTGGGGCATGGCCTTAGGACCACAAGCATTCAATTGAGAATTTTTTACAATATTACACTGCTCGTGTCAATCCATTCACCATTCGGGACAACTTTTGTTTTTCTTGCCATGGATTCACACTTATTCAAGGGCTGTTGCTGACCAGGAAGGCTGACTCTGGATTAAAACTTGAGAAGCCTAACTGAGCTGGGTTCAGGGATGATTACTCAGAGCCAGGAGAGCGATAGGCTACCTGGAAACCATGTCTGAGAAGAGCCAAGGATCACGCATTTGGAATCATAATGTCTCCTGGGGCCAGAAATAGGAGCCAAACCCAGCTGATAACAACGCCACAAAGTCACAGTGGGAAGACCTAGAGAATAGAGTGTCATAAGGTTAATTTTCATGCCTGAACCTCCTAGTGACTGGGTGGGACTACCCAGTTTAAGGAACAGTCAAGAAAGAGATGCTTCCCCTAGAAACTTTGATTCCATATCTGCTTTCTAGGTCAGTTCTCACTCTTGGCCTTATGTGGATATTTGACCTACTTGTTGTCCTCACCCCATCCCCAATTCTTTTCTACCTCAAATGCTAGAGTTGGATTCTGTCTCCTGTATCCCTGGAATCTGAGCCCAGCTTGCCTCACGGTTCTGATGTCCTTGCTTTCATATTCATGCATTATTTCAGAAGGGCCCATGGTCTGAGAAAGGGCATGATCTGAGATAGGCTAACCAAGTCATGAACTGAAACAGGACAACCAAGTTGCAAGAGTTTGTAGCCGAATTGAATGTGACTTCTAAATTGTCTAATTCTATTTTGCAAGATGGTTCTTGAGGAAAGGACGAACATTTCTGAAGTTCTGCTTCTTCAGTGTGTATACAAATCCTGGTGAACCATGGTAGCCATCCGAGGTCACGTCTACTTTGGCTGTAACCATTCTGCCTCAGTCCTGTTTTCAGTTCGTGCTGCCATTTGGTTTGTGCTGTGACCACTGGGGTGAGAGTCGCTGCACTGTGTCTCCACAGCATAGTCATCTGTCTCCATCCTAAGTTGCTAACATCCTTGTCTAAACTGTTCCCTATTGTTTCCCCAAAGCATAGGACGTGAGCAGGACAAATTATGTGCTTCATTAGTATTTGTTTAATCAATGAATAAAAACAAATCCCAATTCACTTGACAGATAATTTAGAGATTTTATGCCAAGGAAGAGAATAAACACTGAATGCTTTTTATATGCCAGGCACTGTGCCCAGTGATTTTAAAAAATGTATTTTAATTCTTTAACATTAGCACAGGTTTCTTGATAAATTAAAAAATTACACGTAAGAAAATTTTTCTTTTGACCATAACCCTCAACTTCAATTTCGTCCTGGACTCCCTGAGGGGTAACAACTATTTATGTTGGTATATAAATTGACATCTTTTTGCATGTAAATATTCACATATATGACAATCAAAAATAGTGCTTTATGTGGCTCTGTGTGTATTTACATAAATTGAATGTTCATTTTATACCTTGCTTTTTTTTAAAGTTAACATTGTTTTTTGGAGCTCTTTCCATGCTATATGTATCAACCTGTCTCAGTCTTTTTAATTGTCTTACAGGACAGATACACCAGAACTTAATGTACTTCTTCCTCCATTGACAGGCACTGATGGAAATGACTTAGTTTCACGTCTTGCTGGTTAATTACAAACAGTGTTGCAATATGCATGTCTGTACATCCTTCTTCATGCTAATATGCACTGTTTATGGTAGAAACAGAGAAGTTGTATTGCCGCTTGTAGCATATGGGTACTTTAAAATTTATATAGACATTGTCAATTTCGCTAAAGTGCCTACCAGTGGATGCTCCTGCCCACAGTGTGCGAGGGCACCTATCTCCTCATACCCTTGACGACGGATAATATCATCCGAACTTACTTTTTAGCCTGTCTAATGGGCTCTTCACACAGGGTGGGGTAAAAGTAGGTTTACAGTTGTGAGAACAGAAAACACAGAGTTGACTCTTGTATTATTTATCAGTTATTGTATTATTTCCCATATGAACAACTGTAAACTTACTTTTGCCTCACCCTGTATATATTCTTTTAATCCTTGAAATCACCCTGCTGGTTAGGGTTGTTTATTGTTCTTATTTACATGCAATGTCCTACATAAAGAGTCTTTACATACATATTTTTTTTTATTTCTCACAACCACACGATGAGATAGGGGTTTTAACAATTTTTATTTAAGAGGTGGATTATGTGAAGCTCAGGAAGGAGGGTAAGCAACATAGACAAGGCACATACTCAGATCCTGAGTGCGTACCTACCTGACACCAAGACCATTAACTGAAAGTACACACTCTCACATACAAATGCTTGCCATTATCCAGAGACAAAGAAAAATGTATTAAAAACTATGCACTGTTCCAGGTGGGTACTTGAAATATCAGGAGGACCACTTTGTAATGCATATGATTGCCTAACCACTATGCCACGCACATCAGTACACCTGAAACTAATACAAAATAATATTGAATGTCAACTCTAAGTGAAAAATGAAATTAAAAAATAAAAATAGATTAAGGCAAAGTCTGTCAAAATTAGTATGTCAAGCCAAGCATGATTTAAGTGTATTAAGAAAAAGGAGAACAGATAAGTCTCAAACAGGGTTGGTTTCAGTAAGATCATCACTTAAGTTACATACCAGCAGAAGGAGCTGGGAACCCTGAGGGAAAAAAAGACACCTACTAAGAAGGTTCCTGGTGGCTAACCGGGCTCACATTTTTTTAAGAGAGGAGCCCAGCAGCCATGTCTACACAGGGGCCTCTCAGCAAACTGCACTTGATGGGGAAGCTACCACTGAACTGTCAGCCCCCACTGTGCTCCTGCCATCTGAGCCAGCCCTTAAAAAGGTTTCTTGGAATCCTGTTTCAACCAATAAGATTGAGGCTTCTCATCCAATTAGAGATGTCCAGCTCTGACCAATCAAAGCGTCTCTACCCTGATCAATCAGTATAACGTCTTTGGACCAATCAAACTGTGAGGATTCGGAGTCTTCATTTGCATGAGGATGAACCAATCAGGGACCAGGGGCAGGGACTCCTGCCCATATAAGCCAGTTCCCCTGTAGCTTGAGGAGCACATTTTCCAATGAAGTTTTAAGACTGGGTTTTGCTGGCTAGAGCTGAAAGAGGCTTGCGGGAGTAGAGCGGGTCTCCAGGGAGCAGCGTGAAGTGGAGCAGGGCTGTGTACCCTGGGAGGTGCTGGCCCCAGGACTGTCTGGCCCCATGCTATAGCACTATTGAGCTGTTCCACAGTGGTGCTGTATCACTGTTGAGCTGGTCGCACCAAATAAAGTTTTATTCTTCACCACACCCCCAAATAGGGATTCCTTTTGGTGCTGAATTGACACCCATGACCATCAGTTGACAGCGCTTTATTTAAAGCAGCATTACTCAAAAATTCTTCTGTATTTGTTCCATGGACCCTGTTGAAATATATCACCAAACATGGAAACATGAAGTCTTTCTACATTGGGTGCTGAGAAGTTTTGAATAAAATTTGTGCCCCAACTATAGCAAGAATTTAGGCCACTCTAGTATGTGCTTTTATTTTCATTCCTGGCTCTAGTCTGCACCCCTACTTTTTTTCTTTTCCCCATTCTTTGACTCTGTTATCTTGTTTTTTTTTTTATGTATCTTTGCACGCTGCTTGCTTCAACATTTTGGAGCAAAGTAGAATATACAAATGACCGAGAGTTTACTTTACCCACCAGGTTGGTGCATTAGAAAGGGAATTTATCATATTTCTTTTAAGTCACCAATGTCTTTAACTTCTGCTCGGATCATACCCCTCTGCCTAATGTGGAGTCATTCTAGACCTCTTCCCCATTGTGTTCCCAATTCCCTCTCAGTTTCTTTTTCTCGAAGAACCACCCTCCCTGTCCCCTGGTCCTTTCCTCTATGTTGTCTTAGCACCCTGTACTTCTCTTTTCATGCAATGCATCACCTTGTTCAATGTCTGCCTTCCCAATAGACTCTAATGTCCCCGACAAACCAAGTGGCACCTGACACATAGTATTTGCACAACAAATTTATGTGAGAATATTAACCATTTGACTATACCTCAGAAAGCTTTTGGAGCTACCAGTGACCTCCTAGTGATTAGTCTATCCCGCTCTCCTCTTTTCACAAGGAATAGAAGCTCTGAGTGGTGAAATAATTTGCTAATGACTCACAGCTGGTTAATGAAGTCACTCCATTCCAGCCCAGCAATCTTTCCATTTACTGTATAACAGCTGGCCGTTGCCTGTCAACAAATTACCCAAAAGGAGGTTAAAAGCTCCATAAGACCGAATGCCACATGGTCTGAAAACCCTTGCTTCACAGTTTGGCGATTCTAACTTCCTGTTTTCAGGGAAATCCTGCTACTTAAGCTGTCTCATGAATTTTATGGCTAGGGAAAGTTTTCTCATCAACATAATTACAAGGCCTCAACTGGAAGGTAATGTAGAAAACATATGTGGATTGGCAGCAATCTGAGCTGTGTTCTAGGGGACCCAGGGATCTGTGCAGGCCTCCTCCAAGAGGTAAACTGAGGCAGCTCTGTAGTTATGTATTTTATGTCTTGGTTTCCAAAGCAAATTTGAGTTTGAAAATAAAGGCTCCTGTTTAAGTGCCCATAAGTAGGTAGGTGAGTGGGTTAAAAAAAAAGCTGTGGTACATTTATACAGCGGGCTACTATG